TTTTGTAGTACTAATTTGATTGACTGTAGATCATCTGTAGATCAATTTTGCAGATCTAATTTCAAGGGTAACAATATCATCAGAAATAAAGAAACTGCATAAAATAATCTGTAATATGTTACTTGTGCCTGATGGAAAATTTTTGATCTTCCAGACAATAGATATGATAAATTCTACTGAATGTGATCTATTGTATTCTGAATCTATGTTTAAAACAAAATAAACTTTTTAACTTCTATCGACTTCACTTAAAACAAATATCATACAAACTGACAATTATAATCAACCTATAAAAATTATGAATGTCTTATGGATAACCAATTATATATGTTAGATTTTAATAATAACATTTTATTTGATAATTTCATTCTTTTTTATTTTATATAACATATCTATAATCTCAATAAAATTTACTACACGCAAATTTTTAACCTTACATTTGATCTAATTAATAAATAAGCATAAAAAACAATATTACAATATTTAAGTAAATAAAATGTTCATGTGATATGATAAGATATTAACAATCAAAACATAAAATGTCCTTAATCGCTCATTATGAAATGACCCATATATAAAAGAAATGGGATTAGTTTTGGATCACTTAAAAATCTATTACGTTAATATTAAAAATGTTTGTATTGCGACTTTGTCTATTAAGATAATAAAAAACTTCACGAAGAAAATGATAAGAATATTTGATCCGATTCTACCAAAAACAAATGATGATCATTGATCAACAGATCACGAATCACGGTTTACCAGCACGATGTGTATCACGAGAAGGGGTGGTTCCTTCGTACTGGCTAGTTTAACTAAAAATTAAAAAAAAAATTACATAATAATTGATTACAATTTAAGGGATAGGTTGATGATGTTAAAAATATATCATCTTTCTTGAAATTCGCTGGAATCTGTAATAAAATTACGTCATTCTTCCAAATTTGTTATTTTCTGATAAAATTATTTGACTTCACGTAAATTTTAACTTGATATGAATTTTCATAATCTTTAATCATAGTAAATATTTATGCTTACCAGATCATATTTCTTCATTTTTAAAAAGATACGCAAATTCATTTTCTAGAAAGGTTTCGATTAATTTACTGGAAAAACCAAGTTTTTTTTTTTTTAATAAGAACTATAAAAGAATTAATGTAATAAGTAAAATTTGGCCGAGAAGAAAGTGGAAATGAGGAATTATTTTAGTATATTTCTTTCATAAACAAGCAATTTTTGGTTATTTGTAAAAATTTTGAAACAAAGCTTATAACAAATAGATGAAATTTTGTGATTCTAAAAAACTGAAAGCGAAAAACAAGTAACATTTTTTTGATTTAGGTGACAGAATTTCATAAAATTCCTCCAATCAATACATTTATTTGATCATCTAAATGGGTTGAAAGCTCTCGTCTCTTTTTAAGGTTTACAAGGAACCCGTAAAATGTTTACGAAATGTGTAAAATGTGAGTGATGTGCAGTAAATGGTGTAAAATGTGTAAATTGTGAAAATGTTTAAAATGTGTTCTGAAATGTGTAAAATGTTCTTTTTTAGAAACCTGCAAAAGGAAATTAATAGCATTAAAATATATTCCCGAGAAAAAGTAGTGAATTTCAGACACTTTGTTATAATGGTGAAAATTAATGACATTGAAGTAAAACACTAAGATCATGATGAAGATAGATTTTTATCAAAGACGATGGAAGAATTACTATAACGCATGAAGCTAATTCAAGCAAATATGATTCTTATCTCATCATTAACATACTAAATATTTGAGTAGTAAATGAGTAAGGTTCATAAAAGACATCATCATTAATTTTTTTTTTTGAATTTGACAAAAATTATTTATAATGCTTAATACTAAAAATCATGCGAACATACACGATCGTAATTTATTATAAAAAATTTTATTGACAAGAAAAAAAGTTTTCTTCTAAAAACTTTGGAAATCGAATTTGCCAAGAATCTTGACACTCATACTGAAATTATTATTACGTGATTTTTTATATTTTATATTTTTTTTTTTTTCACCATATAATAATACAATTAAGTGTAAACTTTCCATTGTGAATAGAAATTATATACTGTATATAATATTTTGCAAAAGAAACTACAAACAACAATAAATTTTATTTATATGCTGGTTAATTCAAAAAAAAATTTTTTTTTAGAGTTTCCCGTTTTTTTACTGCAAAACACATTTAATATTTTTATCATGATCAATTTATTATTCTAGTTCTCTATTTTTTCTATATATTTTTAAAAAATTTGATCATCACTCACAATATCACTGAATAGATTTATATGAATTTCCATAAATGATTAAAGGGTGGAATTCAATAAGGTAATAAAGATTTAATCACGATGGATATCGTAGGAACAAAAATAGTAGCACATAAAGCATTTAGCCAAATGAAGATACAGTTTACGGAATTAATCTTGCATATATCATGATTCATTGGTGTGATATAGTTAAAATCTGCTGGACATGTGAACGGAACCTTGTTATACATTTGATTTATCGCAATGTGCGTACTAACGGCTTTTACAAAAATAAAACAAATCAATAAACATGCTCTTGCGATTTATTTTTTTAAAAAAAAAAAAAAAAAAAAAACATCATACCAGCAAAAACAATCCAAGCAGGAAATACAACGAAACTATTATCAAAAAAAGATTTGAATTACACAAATAAAAAAAAAAATTTTTTGCATTGCATTGCATTATTTACATACAAGTTAACAAACAATAGAGAGGTATGAACGATTTTAGTGCGTTTAATATGCTCGAATGTTGAAAATTGTTGATTAATAACACGAAATATATCAAGATTGACCACTAACAATAAAATTTTTTCGTTGTTTTATCATCAATATGGCGTCAAAATCGTAAAGAAAGAAAAAAAAATATTTACTCACATTCAACTAAATTCGTGAAAAATAATAACACGAGATATCTAAATAAATAAAAAAAAAAAGGAAAAAAGAAATTAAGCCAAAATGAAAAAAAAAAGAGATCTCGATCTCATTTATAAAACTTACATGGGTTGAAGTTTATATTGGCTTTTATAAAATATGAATTCAAATTTTAAAAATCCTGAAAGCAAAGAACGAGTTTAAAAGGAATTACTTATTTTTTTAGAACAATCGAAAATTCAAATAAAATTACTTACCTAAAAAGATACTTGCGTACATTAATAAACACCAAAATGTCAATAGCGTGTAGATAAATTTCGAGAAAAAATTTAAGCGATTGTTAGTAAACCTATTCAGTTTAGAATGATAAGGAATATTCATTTTTTTTCTTTTTTCTTTTTTCGAATTTTTTTTTTTTTTTTTTACAAAGTTCTCCTGAAAAACAAATAGACTTTATATAACTAGTTTATTTCACTTTAAGTAAAACACGGATTCATATAACATAATTAAGTCGTGCAGTTACACACTTCATTGATCCAAAAATAAAGAATTTATTATAATAATAAAACTTTGTATGATTTTCATAACCGAATTTATAAGCGATTTCCCGGTTAGGGAATTACAATGAATAATTATAGTTAAATTACATCCTAGACATACTCTTCACGAGATGTTTTCAAAAAAGGAATATCAAGGTCCAAGTTCTTATGTTCATTCAAGAATATATCTAAAGAATCTACATCAATTACCCAAAGTGGATCCATGTACAAAGTATTCAATCTTTTAGGAACATAATTCGATAGAATTGTTACCAATTCACTGATATTAACCAACTGGTTCTCGCCCCAAAACCATAATTTTTCTAAATTTAAACAAGCTTTAAATAATTTCAATAAAAAACACTCGTTAATCTCTTCATAAAGAATAGAAAAGGGTCCCCTATACTCCACCAGATTGTGACAATATTTAACAAGTATTTTCATCAAGTCTCCAATTTCCGAAGTATCGTTTAAATACGCGAGATAACAAGACTTCCTGATATAAAGATATTTAATTCCACCATGATTCTTCAAAAATTTGCAAATAAATTTCAAATTAAGATTTATAATCGAAATATCTAACTTTACCAATTTTGGGAATATTGAAACCCCAAATTTTTTCGCTAATCCTACAAGATCCATGTTTAAATCTAATACCAACTCTTTTAAATTTTGACAATCAATCCGAAATAATCTCGAACTTCCCGTTAATTTCAACTTTGTTATACTGTTACTATTTTTCTGGATAACCTTTTCAATTGAAAGTATTGGCATGGTTCTAAAATCGACTTCAAGGGATTTAATAGGAACCTTTTGCATATCGATTAACCGAGCCAGTCCGTTATTTTGACCTTTCAAATGAAATGAATTAATCTGTGTACACTTCTGTGATAAAAGGTAAATAAAATCAGAATTCCGTGATCCGTTACAAGAAAATTCTTTGACATTTGATAAAAACTCATCACTGTTTGGTAAAAGTGGGAAATGGATGATTTTGGTGGAATCATCCAAGTTGGAAATATCAATTCGACGAATATTTATACATTTCACCATAAACATTCTAAAGATATGATCCAATAATTGATACTGATGAAACATTATATCTTCTTGATGACTTTCTTCTATCCAATCAATTATAGCATCATATAAATTCTGGTAATTTAGGATTTGTAAATGTGATGGGTAATCATATAATTCTCTTCTTAAAACTTTTTCCGGTAATTGCAATCCATTTGCGATAAGTGAATCTTTGGATTCTTGTGGAAGGCATGTAATATACGTCGTAATAACCGAAATACTTTGTTTTACTTTAAGAGTTTCTGTCAATGGATTTTTCCAAAGAACAGAGATAGCCAATGAACTCCAATTTCTATTCACAAGGATGCAATTTTTTAAATCATTATTTCCCGTCAAGAAATTTTCAAATATGTTCAAAAGACATTCACTAGAAAATGAAGAAATCATGAGTGCACGGTTATTATTTTTATTATTTCTGGGAAAAAAAAGGGGTAAACTGGAATATTTTATTTAATTTTATTTAATTATTATTTATTTATTATTTGGTTGTACAAGCATCAGAATCACATGATTAGTCGCGTCATAATTAAAAAAATCTCAAAATTTATTCTCAAAAATTGCTTTTATATCTTTTTGATCAGCAAACTTTTCCATTGTAAGTTTGACTTGTTGAGATGTTGGTTTATATATAAATTCCAGGACCCTATACAATCTGGTAACACATGCTCGCAAAAAGATCTCCAATGCTTCGGACGAAATGGTATAATTTGTAACTTGTAACATGGTTAAATTAATTGGAACAAACGGTCCGGATCGTTGCAATGCATCGCTGATATCTAAATTATCACCATTTATTTTCCGTAAAATCAAACATTCAAGCTTTGGACAATTTTGAAAGAATGATTGTAAAGTTTCAATTCTTTCAATATGAAATGGTCCATCATAATGGTAAAGGTTCTTGCAACTATTGATCAACGTCTCAGTAAATGCTGGAAGTTCCGTCTCATTTAGATAAATAGAATTAATTGTCAGGGACTCCAAACTTCCATGAGTATTTTTAATTAAGACACTCGATTGTGATAAGGTGTTCATTGAAATGAATAGCTCTTTAAGTTTTGGAAATGATGAATTCATGAAATTCTTCGCAACATCACTGAGCATGGGGGAAGATATTTTCAATCTCATCCTTTCAATGTTCTTACATTCTCTAAAATAATCCAATACCATTTCATATCCAAACAATCGCACATTCGTGATGGAATGGGATTTCTTCCTGATGGCGCTTTCGAGAAGAGGAATCTGATTACCTTTGAAATTTATCAAGATGCAATCCAAAGGAACCTTTTGAAGTTCTATGAGCTTAGCCAATCCTTCATTATCCTTACAGCAACATTCTATATTAAATCTCTTGATATTCCTGCATGTTTGAGCTGCGAGATACATAAATTCTGGGAAAAGGCATCCTTTACATGAAAATTCCGTGATGTTTGAGAAACATTCCTTTGCTCCTGGTAAAAGGGGAAGTTGTAAAATGTCAACTTTCATTCCTTTATTTCCAGCCTTCATAAAAATACTGAATCTTTTCAGATTTTTGCACCGATTCATGAGCAATCTACAGATAAGTTCCATCAATTGAAATTGATGAAAAATCACGTCGTCTTGGTAGATTTCGTAATCCGGTTTATAATTCGCGTTTACCCAAAAATCAATCGCATTATAGAGAGATTGATAATCAAATCCTTTCAACAAGGACGGATAGTCAATAGCTACCAACGAAAATGGTGAAACGGGTAATTGTAAACCACTATTCAAGATCTGAAATTTCGAATCTTGAGGTAAGCAAGAAATATAACTAGATATCAATGGTACGAGTCGATTTCTATTGTGTTCTTTGGAATGTAACCATTCAATCGGCTCTCTCCAAAGTATAGTGATTCCGGCTTCACACCACTTGCGATTGACCAAGATACAAGCATGTAACAATTTAAAACTATCATCCCAATTATTGTTCGTCGGGCCAAAATTTTCAAAGATTTGTAAAAGGCATTCGGTTGGTAAATTAGAATTCATTTTTACAAATGATTGTACTGAGCGATTGAATCGGATTTCAATTAAAATATCAAAAAAAAAAAAAAAAAAAAAAAAAATTAAAAAATTAAAAATTAAAAATTAAAATAATAGTAGTAATAATAATAATATACTGTCTCTCCTAATTTACCTACTCTTCAAAAAGTGAATCTTTTTTTTAATAATAATAATATTAAAATAATATTAAATTTATTTAAATAAATAAATAATACACTTTTTTTTTACAAAAGTTCACGGGAAAGAAAGATAAAAAACTGTGGGAAGACGAGAAATCTTATCCCTATTTATTTTGTTTACTTCTAAATTTGTCGAACACTTGTTGTGGCGTAGTGGCGCAGTCGCAGCAATCATCAGGTGACCACTTGTTTCATTATTAAAAACGGACCTAAGGATGTGATGGTTTAACATTTAAAAAAAAATCATAAAATGCTACTTTGAAGCATGATGGCTGACTTGAAATTTATAATAACAATAAGGTCATTTGAGGTCATTTGAGTTCATTTATTTGCCAACACTGATTTGAAGTATATATTTAATTTTTTTTGTTGTTCTTTTTAAACGCGAATTTTCTCTTTGAAAAGCATCGCGAAATTTCAACTTTTTTATTATTTTTATATCAGAAAGATTAAATACAAAGTTATAAAGAATCAAATACTGTTTTCAAGTAAAGAAATAAATTAATTGTGTTTTATTATCTAGAATTTTTCCAAGATAAATGTTGCACAAATTATCAACTCCTCGTTGATCTTATTGTACACACCCAGTTTAGGTTAAAGGTCTACACCCTACCTTAGGTTAAAGGTGAGCGAAAGGTCACAATGGTGACGAGGTTGGGTATTGTTCCTTCCAACGAAGTTTTTTTTTCTTCCTATTAGTATGAGAAAAATACCTTGGAAAAACGTAATATAAATAAAGAAAAAAAGGGCGGAAGTTTTGACGTTTCTCAATTACGGAATAATGATGTATTTAGAATTGTAAATATTCAATTTTCAATTACGGTTCCACAATACCCAAATGCAGACTGGTTGTTCCGTTATATAAAGTCGACAAAGGCAAGGATTGAAGTTTAATAACATCAATACATTTATTGACGAATTAATTATTTTCTGCTATTGTCTATCACACGCTTTAAACAGCTATTTATGGATCATTATATATAAGACGACCAAGTCATTCGGCCAAGATTTTCAATAATAAAAAGTGATACAAGAATTAATAATATTGTATATAAAATACCATACATAATCTAGTCTCTCGAAAGATTGCTTTTTACTGACCAAGACCCCTTTATAATTTTCACCTTACATTTGTTCATTTCACTCATCATTATGAAATTACGAAACATCATTTTCGCTTTCCAATTTTTTGGGTTAATGTCATTCAATTTAGTTTGTCTTGGAGCCTGTAAGTAATCTTTAATTTTTTAAGTTATCACCGCCGACATTATTGATATTTAAGATATGAAATTTTTAGACATTGCAAAGTATTTATACTTACGACAACTTGAATTTAAAATTCCGCTAAATAAGATTGAATACGTTTATCTGGCATTGTTGATAGGAACTCTTCTAAAGGATGGTAAAGTATCGCAATTAAATTTCGTTTTTTCATTTTCATTTTCGGATATATATATATTTTTTTTTCTTGGAATTTATATAGTCACGTTCACTTGCGCGATGTTCAGAGGATCCATGAACGTTTTAAATCCGAGAAAACAAATCATATCACATGTTCTTTTATTGATTGCTTGGATGGTTATTTCGGGTAAATAAATTAAAAAAATTTCTTTTAAACAAAAAAAAAAATTTCCCGGTCAGAATTCAAATTGTTATTTTTATTTTATTTCCTAAATGATATAATAGGTCTATATACCAAGTTTGAATTAAATCAATCGGAAAAGCTTCCGTTGATGTGTCCATCAGATTTTGATTATGAACAACCGGAATACATGACAGCTTGCAAGCTGCGTCGATTAAGTATCATCATGATGTGGTCGTACGCAGGAACGTTCGGATTATCGGTAATATTAAATATGTTGATATGTTTTCAAAATGCGGAAGATTATGAAGAACGTTATGAGGAATCTAATTCATCATCATCAAGATTAAGTATAATGCATGAGGAGAAATTGCAATTCACCTCCAAATATTCAAAGGATCATTACAATGCTCCAATTCCATCGTCGTATTCTTATAATCATCATTATAGTAGACGTTCACCAGCAAGTGTTACACACATAAAATAAGTTAAATAAAATATTATTAAATTAATTAAATTGACCTTTTTTAATTTTGTGCAAATGGGTTGAACCACATGGTTACGTCGCGTAACATTTAAAAAATACCAATGATATTCGATGCAAAAGGTTGATTCCTAAGATTTTCGTTACATTCATCGGCACGTGTTGATCAACTTCACTTCATTTTACCCCCATAGTATCAATAAAAAATCAGAACAGTTATTTCCTTTACAAGCCTTATCGGCGTCATAGCAAAACCATAAAGTCTTAAGTCTTATATTTGTACCAGGATTACCAGAAAAAAAGAAAGCAATGCATTGCAAATATATACAAATATGTACCTATATTAATTTATGATTTACGTTTTAAAATGGGAACAAATCAAAAAAGCAAAAAGATCTATCATAATAAAATGATACCATTCATTAAATTCAATCTATATTTCTATATATATATATAAAAAAGAGGAGCGAAGGATAATTATAGACATCAAAGAGTCATTACGATTCACGAGGGTTATCTGCAATGAATGACCTGTTTGATAAAAACAAAAAAAACTACGGACTAACCATTTCTTACCCGTTTTTTCTGTTTGCCGATAGTGTTAAATAGAACGAATTAAAATGTGCCTAAACGATTAAGCGGTGAATCCCCTTTAAAATTTTTAATTTTTCGAAAATCTCTGTTATAGTGCCGGCCCACGGTACTATCGATTAATACGTTGTATCCAAAGACATCTTTATTTACCTGAATATAACATGCCAAGTCAACATTCGGGATAGAAATCCGATTATAGTAATAAATTCGGACAAAGAAATAAAGTATGAATGCTAAAAACTGTTTAAATAATAAAATGAAAAAGATAATTCTGTCTTCAAGGCAAATTCAAAATGGCAAATTTCCTTAAAATTATTACTAATAAAAAATCGTCCGATACAAATAAAAAGTACTTTGATTTAAATGGTCAATCATATTTATTTACACAAAAAAATATAATTTATTACGTTACATATTCTGAAACGTGGAATAAAAAGCATTATATATATATACACATAAATAAATAAATAAATATAAACAATATGATAAAATTATATATAAAAAAGGAAAAGTAAAAAGAGAAAAAAAAATAAAAAAAATAAATTTTTTTGTTTTTGTTTTATTTTTATAGCCCCTCTTTCACATTCCTTTTTTTCCTTTTTTTTTTTTTTGAAAATAATTCTTTTTCTTTGTTCCCGTTCCGTGAAATGATTTGTATGAACAATGGATTTCGAAATAATATGTCGGCCCTTTTTATACACACTTCGGATATTACAATGTGCTAGTAGTTTGGCATGTATCATTTTGGGTATGTGCGACTCATTGTGTAATAGTTTCGTGTAGAATTTATTGTTTAAAACGTACTTATTTCATTAAATTACCATATAAAGAAATCCTTAGAATTGTTGGCGTTATGTATTTCGTCGAGATTGGAGATAGAAAGTAAGAATGAATTATTTTTTAAATGAGCAATAATGAGCATTAAAACATTAAATTTCGTCATTATTAACGGGAAATATTAATTATTTATTATTATTATTATTATTTTCACACTTTCTTTAATAAGCAAAGTTGAATTGTTTTTTGAATATTTGGTAATGAATTTAGGATTCGTTATAAGCGGTAATTAAAAATTCTTAATCTCATTTTTTTTTAAAAAAAAAAATTTTTGAATTAAACGTTGCTAAATAATTCTTAAAATTTAAACTCAGTTATTTATGTATTTCAATTTCATCAACGATGGAGAAGAGGGTCGTGTAAATACGAGATTTTTTTAGATTGGTATTATTAAAATTATATATATTTTTTTTATTTTTATATTCCTTTTCTCCTTCTCTCTGCTTCAAATTTAACCTTTATCCGTAAAAAATAAAAAAATTTATAACCAACCTAGCATATTGATAAATGCTTGGATGATCTTTGGTTTGTTACGGCTATCCCCAAAATTCAATAATCCAGGTTTCTTAACCTGCAGCTCATATGAATCTCGCCAACGTCAAGGTTGCATAACTTATTTAATAACGTTAACATTTGGATTTTTCATTTCCGCGTTGTACATTCTCTCATCGATCTTAACCACATGGTTATGGACAAGATCATCCTCAGCCACCAACACCAACTCTAACCCTAACCGTCCCAACCTTGACAACGCCATTGACGAATCCTCAAAGTCATCATCATTAATTCTATCGAAATTTAATCAAATAAGGAATTCTCAAATTATTGACGATATTTTGGAATTTCAAGATGAACAAAGAAATTCTGAAATACTCGCAGAAATGTCGTTAAAAGAATTTATTGAACTTAATAAACGGTTCTCTCATTTATTTAACGATGGGTCAGAATTTAATGGGACGGATGGTACGATCGTAATTTTTCGTAAGCCTTCCCCTTCTTACCTTCGATATGAATCATCATCTCGTAATTCATCTTATAATTCATTATGCGAGAGTAATTTGGAAGCAAACAGAAGGAAATACATGTCCGAATATAGTTTGGATAGTTCTTTTAGTAGAACTTATGGTTCGATAATTATTCCGCGTAAATATTTGCCAAATGCCGCACATAGCGAAACTGATAGTACAAATAGCGTGATTAGTAGGTGCGAAGGGACCATTATAATGGGTAGAAATCAAATCACTTCTACTTATAGTGAGAATAGCAGTAAACGTCTATCATCAGCATTTAGCGATCAAACTTCCAGTAGTAAATATGATGGTTCAATAATAATAAAATTAGTAGAATAATATTTTTAATTGTAATTTTTTTTTTTTTTTTTTTTAATATATATATGTATTAACAAATGTAATAATCATTAGTTCCAAACGTACAAACCCCTTTCAAGCTATACCTATATAAAATCAAATCATGATCACTCGTAGTATTATCAAGATTAAAATCCAATTTTGTTTTTAACCTCTTTGAGCAATTAATTAAAAAGGTTTCCAACGCTTCCGCAGAAACATCCCAAGTGTGATTTATCACGAATTTTTGTAAACTCAAGGGAACAATTTCCCCAAGTTTGGAAAAGATGTCACTAATATCATATATGAACCCTTCCTCCTCCTCTTTACTAAGTATGTGTAACATTTCCAATTTTTGACAACTTTTAAATATAAGTGGTAAGTAATGAATTGATTCATGAGAGAAGGGAGCTTCGTAGTAATTCAAGTTCTTTCCATATTGTATCACGGTTTCTGCAAGCAAGGTTAAATTTTCCACGTCAGGAGGTTCTGACCATATGATTAGAATCGATTCAACATTTCCTCCCATATTTCTAATCATTGTACAAAGTTGTTTCAAGGTTATGACTTTTAACGAGATCTCTAATTCCCTTAATTGAGTAAATTTTGAATTGACGAACTTTTCCATGGATTGTCGATCCACGGTTATGGTATTGGTGGTAGGGTAAATGAATAAATGTTGTAATTCATCGCTCGTACTAAAAGTATCCATCATTGAACAATGTCCATGAATCCACAAATCTCTGACCGAATGAGCCCGTTTTCTTAAGGCTCTTCCTATAAATGGAAAGTTCCCACTCTTCGTTGCCTTAATGAAAATGTACCTTAAAGGAACTATCTGTGATTCGATAAGCGTCGCCAAACCTTTATTATCTTTACAACAGCATAAAATTTGAAATTCCGAGATATATTTACAAATCTTTGCCGCCGCAAACATGATCTCCGGCATCGTGCAACCTTCACACATGAATGTGGTCAAGTTGGCCAAACAGATATTCGCTTTTGGTAAAGTGGTTAAAGGTAAAATAAAATCTACCTTTGCGCTTTTAGAAAAGTGAAGCCTCTTTAAATGGCATCTATCCATGAAAAGATTTGCGAGTGAATTAAATACCTGAAAGATTTTATATGTAACATTTAATTTATTTAATTCCCCGAGTTGTCTTGTAATCCTTAACCATCCATTTATTGATTTATATAAAGTTCCATAATCAAGACTTTGTAAGAACTTTGGGTAATCAAATAAAGGATTGGAATAATTTAAAGGCAAGTCAATGCCATCTTGAATGAGGTTTGATTTGATCTCTTGAGGTAGGCATGAAAGGTAAGTTGATATTATCGAGCTGAGTCGATCCTCGTTACGACTTATGCCAACGCTAAAATGAATCCAATCTAAAGGTTCTCTCCAAAGGATCGAAATCGCTGTAGTGCACCATTCTCGATCGACTAAAATACACTTGTATAATAATTTATAATCTTCATTCCAAAAATGATATTCCGGACTAAAATTTTCGAAAATCTTTAATAAACACTCCGTAGGTAACCTTACGTTCGTCATTGCCTAACGAATTAATTAAAAAAATTTTTTTTTTTTTTTATTCTTAATAAAAAAAAAAAGAGAAAGAGGAGAAGGAGAAGAAAATGGGAATTTACCCGGTTACAAACTTGTCTTTATATTTTTGTAGCGTTACGCAAATAATGCGAGTCAATGATGGTGATCAAACACGTTGAAAATCTATTTAGCTTAATTAGCTTAATTCGATAATTCGATTAAGGGGTTTGCTAAAAATTATTTGTTCATGCTAACCAATTAAGATCAAAAATATATGAGTCGCGAAACGCGAAATGTATTTAACCAAATATCAGCAATTCCTCAACCGTAGGAATGAATTCAAAAAAAAAAAAAAAAGATGAATAAAAGAATTGGAGGTCAATCTAATTAAATGCAAAGATAATCTGGTCAATTTTTTAATTTTGCTTTTTTTTTCCTGGGGAGACATGTTTCGAAAAGATTTGCAACACAAAGGACCATATTTGGAAATTTAAAATACCAAAGAATTAATTCGCAAAATGTGATCGACGGGAAACTAATAAAATCAATAAAATTACAATGATTTAAATAAAGGTTTGTGATACTCAAAAGTATCATTGGACCCAAACCAAGGCGCATGAAAATACAATAATATAAAGAAATCCCTTTTTTTTTTCTTTGATTCTACTTTTAAAAAAAAAGGGATTTATAAGGAAAGGTATAACGTAAATCCGAAAATGTCGACGTCGATCGTATTCATTTTCGAAGTCTTTTTATCAACTGTTTTTTACGTATAGTATTATAAAACATAGTAATTTTTTTTTTTCAAACATGTGACAACATCAAAATCGGAATAAACTAGCCATTTCTGATAGCATTTATACTGTTATATACCGTTTATATTGTCATCTTTTTCATAACTTTTCATTCTGCAAATCATAATCGCATGAACTCAATAAAAGTCATGTTAATTCAAGTTTTTCAAATGATATTTCTTTTCTTTTTCAACGAAAAAAAATAAAAAATATAGAGTGAAGCAATTTTACTTTTTTCTTACTCAACCCGTAATTCCTCATTCTTTTTAAAAAAAAAAATCCATCAAATAATAACTTTCAACATTTAACTCTTTGATAGAAATACAAAATGTCTGAATCTTATTATTTCGATGGTTATGATTTTGACGATGAAGGATTTATTGAAGAACCCAATGAATTGATATCAAATGAAGAGGAGGATGTAAACGTTTACACGAGTTTTGATCCCGAAAAAACAACATCAACCTATCATATTAAACAGGCTGAGAAAGCCTTGAAAAAATTGAAGTCCATCATTGAAGAGAATGATTGGAAAAAGGTTCTTAACATTAAATCTGGTGTCGCCGTTTACAGTAAAGATGGGAGTTACGGAGATGATAAAGTACCTATATTTATGAGCGAACATATCGTTGAGAACTTTACTCCTCATGCGATTTTCGCTGTCATCGGAATGAGGAAACTCTGGGACCCATGGTAAGCAAAAATTTTATTTAATTCACGTAATTTATAACTTATCCACGTGATAAAGTCGATAAATTAACTGAAGATTTTACCGCGATAAATTTAGGTATGATGAGGGCAATCTCGTCGAGAATTTAGACAATACGACAAGTCTAACCTATATGACCATGCAAGCATTGGCTGGTACCAGGTAATTAAAACTCGATAATTTAGGATAACGCATTATTACATTATTCCTAATTCCGATACACTTTAATCTTGTATATAGAACTAGAGATTTATCCTTGGTGGAAAAGATTGAATATACTTCAGATGGAACAATTTATTTTGCTACAACCTCAGTTCAAACTCCAAAAGTACCTCTGGTTATTGACAGAATTCGTGCACACCTAAATCTCAATGGTTGGGTTATTAAGCCAATTTCTAAACATCCACTTCGTACAAAACTTACTTATATACTACAGAGTAAAGTTGGAGGTTGGGTTCCATCGGTAGTAGCTAGAAGATATTTAATAAGACGTCCACTTGTTGTCTACACCATCGACCAATATTTACGAAAGAATGGCTCCACATCTTTAGAAATCGGTAGTACTACGAGTTCAGCTCTTCCTTCTCGTAGAACTAGTAATGCTTCATCGGTACATCCTTTAAATAATCTGAATAACGTTCATATAGATTTGAAAAAACCCGTTTCAAAAGATAGGAAAGAACCGCAGAATAGATCTACCATACAAAATATTCCTCCACGAGATTTCCTTCAACCAAAAAATCGAGATACGATAGAAGAGACTCCAGTTAATTCATATGATGAAGATGTAATCAATTCTTCTTCAACGCAAGATACGATTGAAAATCAAAAATCACCTACACTAACAAGTATGACCGGCCGATCTCCTGTTCAAGCTGTCAACAATAAACCGGTAACTCCTCCTGCTTCATCAGTAGTACCCTTACGGACTCAAAGTTCAAAAACTTCACTCAATGGTAAAAAGAAGAAATTTATACCGCCACCATTAACTTTACATGATGATAAAAAGGAATCTCCCGTATCACCTCAACCACCGCAAAAAAAGCATCGATATAAGAATGTCATAAATAAAGCTGTTACACAATTCAAGGAAAATGTTAATTCCATGGATGGTTGGCAATTTTATTCAGAAAGCAAAGGTGTTAAAATTTATACGAAAGATATTGAAGGTAGAACATTTCCGATAATTAGAGGAGATTATACACTTTCTGGTGGTTTCACCGCTAATGATTGCTTGGCGATTCTCAAAAACTTATCATTACGAAAATTATGTAAGTGATTTCTCTATTCATTCCAATTTCATTTTTTCATTTTTTTATTTTATAATTGTAAATTTTCAATTAAGATTAACACCCATATAATAGGGGATGATCGTTTCGATGGTGGTGAAAATATAGAAATCCTTAGTAATACCGAGAATACTAGCAGAGTTTCGATGAAGGGAACTTTTCCTATTAGGTAAGATTTAAAAAAAAATTCTTTAAGATGACCATTTCCAATAATTTTATATCTCAAAAATTTATAGTGGTCGTGATTTTGCTTTATTCGGAACTGTTGAACAAGATCCAATCACCGGTAAAATTGTTTACGTTACGACTTCAATAATTGACCAGGCAATCCCTGAAGTAAAAAAATACGTTCGAGCTCATATAACCTTTGCTGGGTGGCAGATGGTTCCAAATTTTGATTCTAAAGGAAATACGGAATCATTAAGTCTCGTTTATATTGTAGATAGTGAACTAAAACTTGATTCCATCCCATCTTCTATTCTTAAAACTCTCTCAACTGGGACTCCAATGATCGTTCAAAAGATAGACGAGATGTTACACGAGACCGGATTCCCACCTTATATATTAAAATCTACCTCTTTGATCATATCAGAGGATCTTGAACCAAAAACTTTTCAAGGTGATTTGTTGCTTATCGCTGATAGTAATAGCGTTACAGAAGTTCGATTCTCCAGAAAAATGTACCCGAATGGGTTTATTTTAACGGTTAATCCCGACAGTGCAAAGATTGAATTACTTCCGAACAATTCGGATACCATTCGATTGACGCTTCCCTCAAAAGTTAATACAAAGAAATTACATATTACTATCACGAAAAGCACAGGTCGAGGTTTTAAACTGACTTATAATGAAGGCAAAACAATTAATGAAATTCCAGCTGATACTAAGGATGAGGTTAGGGAAATCCCCGTGACAATATCTCGAAATACAAACAATGAAATCAAAACGTTGCTACAAACCAAGCCTGCAGAATCAGAATCAGAATCAGAATCAGAACCAGAACCAGTGACGATAAGTCGTCCTAAACCAGCAGAAAATATCACAAAACATCAACAACATTCGGAAGAACCACCTCAACCTGAAGAACTCACTCAACCCGAAAAACCCACTCAACACGAACCCACTCAACCCGAAGAATCCCCTCAACTCGAAAAACCTCTCCAACCCGAAGAACCCGTAACACTTACGCGTCAAACACGTACAGCTCATTCTACAAGTTCTTCTACAAATGCCACACTTGTTGCAAATGGAACTATTGACATTAATGTATTAAACGATCATATAACAGATAATAATGAAGTTTTGAATCGGATTACATCAGCAAATATAAGAAGAGTTGTTTCTCCAGAGACATTTCAATTCAAAGAAGGTAATTGGTAATTTTGATTAACAAATTATACGCTCGATTGAATTTAAAATTATTTAATTTTCAATTTTTTAGTTTTTATACAAGAACCACAAGAACCGTATCAACAATTAGACGAAAAACACGAAAAACAAGAGGATGAAATAGAAAAACGTGTCGAGTCCTTTGAAAAACACAACATAAATCACCATAGTAATCGCGATAGCAATGATATAATCATCATTTCTGAAAACATAGGATTCAATATACAAGAAATTAGTTTGATGTTTGCAGCAATGTTAATATCATATTATGCCGGGAAGCTTAGCTTTTATTTTAAAATATAAGTGGAAGGTTAGCAATTGGTGATTAATGGAAAGTAATAAATGTAATACAATATAATAATAATAATAATAATAATAATAATAATAATAAATAATTATAGTTTTATCGATCTTTATACAGATTTTAAATTGATACCACGTAAAATGAATGACAAATAAAACATTAATTTAAATTTATTTCATAAAAATACATATTTATATAATATATATACACATAATATACATAATATAATTATTTACATAAATACTTAAATATTCTTGCTTAATTATTTAATTTCTTTCTTTCCTTTTTTTTTTTTTTGTTCGATAAAAATAAAAAGTTCTTAAAATCTAAAAAAATTTTTTTGGTTCGACTAAAAATAAATTACAAATATTTTCTCATACAAATATTTACATAGGGAAATAAAAATAAACTTAAATATATATAATTAAAATGGGGGATTTTTTTTTTTTATGTTATGTACAAAAAGATTTTTTTTTTCTCGTCTTACTGAAATGAAATGAATTGTTAAATAATTTTTTATGCAATCTTAATATTATCTGCACGCTGAAATCTTAAATGCGTTATTTGAAACAATCTTAAATCATAATTTTGAAAATTTTTTCCTTTTCCAACTTCATAATATATAGTAGTTTCTCTTCAATATGGACACAATTCCTCTTTTGGAATCATGTGTACCCCATATTTTTCTTTCAATATTTTAAGTTCTCTTAAAACCCTCCAACTCAATTTTACTTGTCCCCCAATTCCCAAAACTTTTAACGTTCCTCTCCTTTTAACAAACTCACTAATAAGTTCCATATGAGAATAATTAAAGTTCGAATCATTAATAATCAAGGTAGATAAGTGAGGGGTTGCTTCATCATTATGTAAGTCCAAAAATCTTCTAAATTGTTGAACAGGTAAATCACATTCTAACTTAAGATATCTTAGGGTTTCGGGTAACTCATAAACGTCAATTCGTGGACGTTGAATCATCTTTTTATAGTGTTGATGTTGTTGTTGGCTAATTGAGATACTCAGATTTTCTAACCTTTTTAATCCATGAAACAATTTAAAGAGCAAAGGATTTTCCCACGGATAATAAGAATCAACGATTTGTAAATCAAGTAAATCATCACAACATGTTAAGATTGCATGAACCGTTTCGGCCGTGATAATATTTAATCCCAGTTGTTTCAACGAATTCCCAATTTTATCCAGAAAGGCTAAAGTAAGGTCCTGATCATCCGAACCTAGTTGTAACCTGGTTAAATTTGGAAATTCACCGCTCAATAGAATTTTACAAGAGTTTGAACCCAATCCAGAACAATACCAAATTTTTAAATATTTTAAATTTTCAAAATTCGCCAATAAACTTAAAGAGCGTTCGGTGAAATGAACATTCTCAAATTTGACGATGGTCAAGGTATCGGACTTTGAAAGTAAGGATGACATCAAATCCTCAACGCAATGATGTCCGGTTATGCTAAATTCCTCTAAACATGATTGTTCCTTAATGATGTCCCCAATTGATTTAATGATGTTAAATTTATATTCAAAGGTGGAAATTTTAATTTCCATTGAAGTAATCCTGGTACAAAATTTTGGCATGATCTCAAGGAAATTATTTAAATTATCACTGATGGGTTTCGCGCAATCAATTTGAAATTTGGTGAGATTTGATAAGATGATCATAGATTGAGTTCTAGACGAGGTTAGAATATCTGGAATATCTAACCGACGAAAGTGTTGATCAATCTTGAAGGATCTTAAATTTCCGGCCTGACTTATAAAAAGTTTATAAATTGACGAGGATAAATAATAGATGATCTCCTCTTTAAAATCGATGTTATGATCTCTATTATGCCATTCACGAAGGAAAAATGAAACGCCCAATTCCAATCGTTTATAAGAAAATTCTTCAAGGAATGAAGTGTAATCGAAAAGTGGCTTTACGGGAATGGTAAGGGACATGTTATAATGCTTTAAATAAGAATTCAAGGAATTCAATTCATTATGATCGAGACAAGCAAGGTACATTCTTATCAATTTAAAATAATCTTTGGAAGATTCTAAACCTTTAAATGGATTCGACCATAACAATGGCAAAACATTTTTACACCAATCTTTATTTACGAGAAGGCAAGAAAACAATTCTTCTTTTGAATCAACATGTGAAAAGATTCGTTTCATACATCCCGCTGGTAAACTTGGTGTAGGATTCTTTGAAGGGTTCGGAGGCTTACTCTTCAACAATTTGACTAACGTGTCAAAGCAATAACAATATGGCATCTTTTTTTTTTTTTTATAAAAAAATAAAAAAAAAAAATTTGATTGATACTACTTTATCTTTTTCGTTGGTTGTACGATGATGTTTGATTAAAAGATGAAATATTTATACGATCCGAGGTAGTACAAAGATTGGTTCGTCATCTGTTGTTGATAAGTGTTTTAAAAATAATTCATTCAAACAATAAACGCCATTTCCATTGTTTTCGATCATGTATTCAACTTAAAAATAGAACGGTTTATGCAGATCATGTTGGACGTGCGCATTCAATGTGTTATTTGGTTATGATTCGCTTTTTTAGAATTTTATTCCATGTTGTAGCATCATGGGAATCGCCTTTTAGTTAATTGCCATTCACATTACGAAAATCAAATTATTTTTTCTTTTTTTTTTTTTTTTTTTTTTTACAATTTCCTTGCATGATAAATTGTACGGAAAAGGAAAAATATTTAGGTAATGAATGTATTAAAGTGGTATGAATCTAACAATACCAATACATAAAAAATTATATGCATTTGTTTTCTATCCATTGTATTATAGAAAAGGTATATTTTTTTATGGTGACAATAAGAACACCAGCCACAGCGGGTTGGCCTTTTTTGTGGATATTAGTCTTTCCTTGTCATACTTGATCGATTTTTTTTTTAAAAAAAAAAAATCCTAAAACTTGTTTCAACAAACCTATTGTCCGTAATTTGGTACGACAAAAAAAGAAATGGTTCATTTTAAAATAATTGAGTATAAAAGAGTTCTGTTCAAAATTTAATTAGCAATCGAATCTCTCGTCGATATTGAAAAAGATCCTAGGAATAATAAAAAAAAATTATTTTAATTTTTTTTTTGTAACTTTTTATAAGATGAACTTAAAACGAATATGGGATATCGAAATTATAAAGCTCCAAATTAGATTCTGATTTTCAATAACGGAATTGGTTCCAAATGTGGGATTGATGCCGATATCTTGAAGATTTTATATTCTGGAAAGGAATTTTTGTTTACATAATGTGGTTAGCGTGGTAAATTATCATCCAAAGTAGCGAAATAGGAAAGATATTATTAAGTGACATGTTCATCAGGAGTTAAGTTTTCAATGTTTCAGATCATATTGTGATATAAAATAAGTAGTATCGAACATCAATTCTTTTTTTTTTCAATTACATGAATTTAGCGCTCTCAATTATAGATGATTCAATGAATTTTAATAATTTTTTTTACTTTTTATTGAAACTTATGATATTACGAGCAGGACTCATTGAGAGCGCTAATACATTTGATGAATCCAATGTCATGATTAATGATAAACAAAAAACGTGTGAGAACTCTACAAGTTTACCAATTTCTACCAATGGTTCATCTTACGAGAACCCGGTGAACGTTGATAAATGTGCCATATTAGATGAAATAATGAATTGCACACAAGAAGAACCATATTGCTTTGTGGATGGGAACATACTTGAATGCGGATCCACGAATCGAATGGGATGGAGAATTAGTCCTTTAGACGGGTTGGTTTTGAATCATGGTCAAAAACCTAATTCAAATTGTAAATTATTCAATCCACCAGATCAACCAAGTATAAAGACAATAATATTAGAATTATTGAGTGAGAGTGCGTTTGGTTTGGGGTTTAAGGGTCGTGAATCCGCCGTTTGGTATAATTCATTTGATTATCTTGGAAATTGTCCTTTAGAAACTCAATTTTGCGATAAAGACCTCCTGATTTGTAAAAATTTATTCGACTCTGGAAAAGAATGTAGTTCATCTAACCAATGTTTCACTCGTTTTTGTGGGAAACGTGACATGAATGATCCAGATGACACCACTGAAAGGGTCTGTGTTGATAACGACGAGGGTATTACGAAGAAGAAAGATAGAACGTTAACCACTGTATCATGTTCTGTTGGGTTCACCATGCTCTTCATCGTGACGATACTCTTCATCGGTTCTTTTAGAAAAAAGACTAAAATTCTTTTTGAGAAATGTGAACCTATTAAACCATTACTTCCTCCTGGCGGACCCAATTATTCACAATCCGAATTCATCGCCAAACATTTATCTGCTTTGCATCCTAATTTAACGTCAAAATTATCGTTAGATAGATCTCGTCCTTCCTCTAAAAACACCATCGAAAAAAGGGAAACATGTTCTTCCGATAGTCTCTCTGTTTTATTACCTCCTCCCCCTACAATAAGTAGAGATATCTCTTTATATTATAATCCTTATATTAATAATTTTACCAATTTTTATTCGGGTAGGAACGTGTCCCAATCGTTTAGAGATTCTTTCGATATTTATCTCGCACCATACCAGACCGTGTAATAACAGTCGATTATGCATTTTTAATGATAAATAGTATTAATAACCTTTTTTTTATTTCCTTATTATACGATAATTCATCTTTATAGATATTTAAGTATTAAAAAAAGACACGCTGACTGAATTGCAATTCAAAAAATGCATGTAAAATAATTCATTCACGTAATTATTTACGCGAACTGGTGGTAAAGCAGATAGATGTAATTTTCTTTAATAAAAAATTATTTCGGGTTTTAAAGCAAAAAAAAAATTATATCATATAAATGTTATAACTCACTTTTATTTTTTAAATATTATCAATTAGCAAAAAAAAATAAAAAATAAAAAGAGGACGTAGAAATACACACTTCGCAGGATAGTACTTAAAGGACCTTATTTAAATGAACTTCTGAAAAACAGGCCCACCGATTCCTCCATCTTGAAGAGTAGAAATCTCATCATTCTTGTCTACACCCCAAAGAATACCTTCAATACTAAATTGCGACATATTTAAAGGTTACCATCCCATTCGAACCATGTTCCATTACAAAATTTAAAAATCTCCTCGTCGTCATTCACGCCGATCACAAATGATGCGTTGCTAGTGTAAATTTAAGCCTAACACAAATATCTTCCCTATGTAGGTATGTAGGAAAATTACTTCTGCTAACTTCCCATACAGTACCATCAGAATCTACGGATACATTAATCAAGAATTTTTTAAGAATGACTTATGAACAACATTTCTAATAAAGGTAACCTTGAACCCAATCACTATCAGATCGATAATAAATATTATCATAATGATTGACACCCCCAAATGTTGTTCTTGTCTCCAAATAAAATAAATAAATGAACATTTGGTAATTAAATAACAAGAAGATCTGTCAAATTTATAATACCAGATATTTGAATCAGTGATCCATCCACCTTTTCCTTTAATAATAGGGGAGTTAATATTTAGTAGGAGATGATAGAAAACTTACCAGTATTATTAACTCGAGTGAGATCTCTTCATCACAATTAATAACCCAAAATGTCCCATTGCTACTGACTCTGCATTGAAAGCCTTACCTACATGATAATTTTCTCTTATCATCATCAGTTTTGTATTCTAATTCTTTATCAACCATTCGATCAATTTCTTTGTTAAAACTATAGTTTGTATCCTTTTTTCCTATGATACATTGTATTAAAATAATAGCTTTGTCAAGACTGCTAGTAATAATCATTTTAATGTTATCAAAATCTACATTGACTTTGTTTTTCTTACATCAGTCGATTCCTAATAATAACGATTCCATAAATAACTAAAAGTATATTTTTAACTACTCCTAGTACTCTTTCTCTTTATCCATTTTGCTATAACAATAATTATATCCAAGTTTCTTCATTAACTTTTAATTATATATAATACTAACTGCAACTTCAATATTGATAATTGCTACTACAGAATTTCTCTTAATATTAACATAATATCTCAAGGCTATAGTTTTTTCTCCTTTATCTGATGAATTTGTTTGTATTATATTTCCTTCTAACTTTAACCTCTTATTTCTTAAAGAAGTTATCTTTGTTATTCTCTATATTGTATCATTTGTCTAATTTTAAAATTAGTTTTACTATTTACAAGATCATTCTGAATATTATATAATTCAATATTATTCAAGATAGATAATCTAATTAATACTTTTTTTTTTTGAAATACTAGTATTATTAATAATGGTTTAAGAAAGTTCTTTGCTAATTTCAGATTCATTTGCTTCTAGTTTTTTTAGCTATCATTTCTCTTTAGGATTCAGTTTTTTTTAATTGCTAGAAAGAATTTTTGTTTAATTATATTTACTTCTCTTTTATTTGGATCATTATCCTTTAAACATCAGTTTTCTTAAAGTATTACTTTTTTAAAAGACATTTCTTGTGATATATTCTTTCTTAACATCTAAAACAGATTCTTTTTTTTTCAAAATAAGGATTTATTATTAAGGCTAATATAATATTAATTTAACTTAAAGTCATTTGTTGAATTATTTTATCAATTTTTTAATATCATCTTATAGTTTTGATATGCTAAAATCATGTTTTTTAATATAATATCTTCTTATCTCAACTGTTTTAACTTGAGTAATTATATTATTTAATATATTAGAATTTTGAATAGCTATTAAAGTTAATATCTTTTGTTCAATCTATTTAAAATATGCATAAATTTTTACTTTGTCTCTTTTTTATTTAAATTTATCAATTCATATTACAATATATATAGCTTTTTTAAGATAAAAATCAAGCTAAAAATCTTTCTCTAAATCTGTTTCAACAATTTCATCTTATTTATTAATATTTGTATTTACCAAATTATATTAATTATCTGCTATATCTCTTAATATTTCTAATGTAATAGCTAGTATTAGACATTTATTTAATTGAACATATAAACTTATATACAGTATGTCTAATTAGGCATTATAAATGTTCAAATCCAATATTGACAATAGCTACTCTTATATTATCCATCCATTTATTTGCTGTTTAGATTTTTAAAAAAGTTTTAATTTTTTACTATTAAACTTCTTATCATATATAATGCTAGAATATTAATTATATTGAATCTATTTGTTATACTAATAGTCATTTGAGTTATTAAAGTATTGGATTACTAGCATTTTCTAAAAATAATTGAAGTAAGATATTTTTAAATGCATTTTTCTAAATATAATCATATATTTTTCTATAAATGCATATTTTACACAATTCCAAGTATATAAGACCATACAAAATTTCTCTCTTTAAATGCATATTCTCTTTAAGTACACATTTTTTCAAATTTTCACTATTCCAAAGGGATGAATGCTGTTAATGTATGATTTTTGCAAATTACAATAATAGATAAGGCATTTGAGTAGTTGTTCTTTATTGGTAACTTATTGGATTCAGTAATAATATATATATTTATAAGTAAAAGAACGCTTTATAAATCATAATTATATAACAATTAATCATTATATTTCCAATATTACGCATATAAAATAAGTTTATTGATGATAAGATATATATAAGAATAATAAAAATAAAAGGACAATGAAAAGATTAATAAGTACATTAAGTATATTAGCATTAGGCTAAAGAAATCTAACTCTCTATTATTCTAATATTTACAAACCATCTTATTTATATAAAATAATTTACATAGAAAGGTAAAATTAATATATTATACATATCTAATAAATTAAAGATATCTAATATATTTGCTATGTCTAATATATTAGTTATGTCAGTTATGTCTGATATGTTAGAAATATCAGAAATGCTTGCTATATCAGATATATCAAATATATAAATTATATAATATTTGTTTAACATACCTAATATTACATGTGTAAATCATTTGCAAATCATCCAGTAAATCAATTCTGTGAAATATGTTGATCATTTGCTATGTCATATTTTCTTGTTATAATCACTCTGTAAGAGAAGGATTAGAAATTATGTCATTAAGATTTTAGAAATTTTGACTCCTCTTCCCTCTTATCATCATCTATTTTAAGAAATTTATAATTAATTTATATAAAATTTGTGAAACGTCTTCATAAATTGAATCCTTCTCCTCCTTTAAAATAATGTAATTTCTGACTCTTCCTTAACAATGCATTTAGAAAGATCTTACTATAATTAGTATTATTCATATATAATATAATAATAATATATTAATATATTACTTTAAGGTTAAATACTTTTACAATTCTAAACTAAATTCTAATAATATTGCTAATTTTATTACTTTATTAGTATCAAGATTTTTTGGGTAAATAATATTATAACTAAAGTGGTTTATTTAAACTTATTTTTGATTTAGCTAAATATTTAATTTTACCAAATGTTTAATATAGTTTCATTATTTTTATAAGCTTTGATATAATTTTATCTTTTTCTGAATTTTGCAGATTTTTTAATAAGATTTTACTATAAATATTGATTAAAGTACCTGGGTATTATACAAGTTCATAAAGTCAAAGAATATTATATTACAAAATATACTTTAATCTATAATAAAATAATACTAAATGTATTAAGTTATATCATATAAAGTTCTATTTAAAATTAAATTAACCTGATTTATATAATAAAAAAATAATTAAAGTATAATATTCTAGGGTATTATATAAATTTTTTTAATTTTTTTTAAAATCCTTATATAATATAAGTTTTTTACATAGATTTATAGGAGTATTATATAATAAGAAATACTTTAATAAAATTAAACCAAATTTTACCTTATTATTTAAATACTTGTATAAACTTTTGATTTTATCTAATAACCTTAATTATAATACTGGTTGATTTTAATAAAAATATTGTTTACTTAAAGAAAAATATAAAACTTTGTATTATTGATATTGATAGATCTACTAATAAATCTTATTGCTTAAGATAATACTATAATTAAGAAGTTATAACTCAATAAGTTATAACTTCTTGTAAAATTTATTTTACTATAAAAATTTACAAATATTTGCAACTCAAAGGATTACAACTTAATTTACAACTAGTTATAAATATTTAAATTAATTATACTATTAGATAAACTAGTTTTATATTCTTTATACTTCAATTAATTTGATGCTATTTAATTCTATTATTATAACTATGAATTAAAAGGCATTTAACTCTTTTATTGTAAATTTCTGATATAAATAAATTAATAAATATCTGTTTCATACTATATAACTAAACTATAAATAAGAAAAGAAATACAAATTAGTATTATTAATAATAATATTTGTATCTAAGGTTCCTTAAAATCCAATCAAATCAAATTGAATTAAACTCAAATATTTGATTGAATCAAATCAAATATAAAAAAATTTTTTAATTTTTATAATAATATATTAAAATAAAGTTATTTTAAAATTTTAATTAAGAAATTATTAGTAACTGCACTAAAAATTTCAAAGATAACTTTTATAAAGTAAGTTTAATAACAGGTGAATTTTTACTATTAAAAACTTAGTAAAACAACTTTGTAG